CACACACACACACACACACACACACACACACACACACACACACACACACACACACACACACGTGCACACACACATGCACACACAAACAAACACACACATACATACACAACCTGCACCCCCATAAGCACATACCTCAGCACCGAAATACACACAATATTGCATGCACACGCACACGCACGCGCACACGCACATGCACACGGCTGGTTGCGCCGCGGCGTCTCAGGTGGCTCACGGCGAATTGTTTCCTATCGATTACGACGATGGCTTCTTTTATAAGGCCACACAAGGACTGGACAGGTGCGAACAAGTTACGACTGTAGGTTGCCTTGCGGCGCACCGATCGCTGAGCCCTTGCGCTCGCACCCAGCACGCGTTGAGGAGGTGTACCGACATCAACAGAGGACAGACACCCGGCTGTTGGGAGGACGGCGCGGTGCGGCGAGGCCGTCGTGCCGGCTGCTCATCTCCGGCGCAATCCCTCACCACTCGCAGGATTTTCTCTTGGGGTGCCTTTGTGCAGCCTGGCGGCCCTGGGGGCGGCGAGCAGCTAGTCGGCTTTGTGACGGCGCGGGTGGTGCGACTCCATGAGTGCGACTCGCACGTGAGTGGGGCGCTTGATGGGCGGTTGCAGGGGCGGCAGCGGCGGCTGCAGCACGCGTGGTAGCTGTGTGGTTGCACGGTCTTCCACAGCCGTGTCGCGCCTCCTGCCATGCCCTCTTGCTCTGGACGCATCGCTGGCCCCCGCCTTGCCCCCTGTGTGATGCAACTTCCGTCACAGCGCTGACTCATCGCTCGGCCCTCTCTCCGCCGCCACCTTGCCCGCATTGCGCCGTCGGCCATGTCCCTCCTCCCTCCGTGAACCACATCCACCCCCCCACCAGGACCGGCAGCTGATGGGGTTACTAAGCCTGGTCCTGGATCATGACAGCGCCGTCTACATTCTCACATTGGGGGTGGTGGACGGCTGGCGGGGCCGCGGCATCGCGTCGCGGCTGATACGGCTGGTGACACAGTACGCAGCAGAGACCAGGTGGGCGGCCTGGAGGTGTGCGTGTAGTTTCTTGTATGCACACGTGTGCCTGTGCTTGTGTGTGTGTGTGTGTGTATGTGTGTGTATGCATGCATGTGTCTGCGCGCGTGCTTGTGTGTGTGTATGCCTGTCTGCGTGCGTGTGTCTTCGTGCATGTGTCTGGATATGTGTGCATTTATGCACGCACGCATGTGCCGATGCCGCGGGGCCGTGCTGGCTTTGTACCCCTCATTCCAGGTGCCGCGCGGTCTTCCTCCACGTCATCACCTACAACGACGCCGCCATACGCCTCTACACACACGCCGGCTTCGTCTGCGCCGGTGGGTGGCTGCGCTGCTTTTGGCATGGCCCGGGGCAGGGCGGCGGGTGGACGGGGACACCGCAACTGACCTATCTCGGGCAGCCAGGTCGTCTGCCAGCCGGCCGCGCTGCCGACCTCTGCTCTTCATGCCCCATCAAGTTCACGCTCGCTGCTCAGCCTGCTGTCACCCGTGACCCCCGCCTCGCCGCCGGCCCCACGTCCACACTCCTTACCACACATCGGGCCGACCGCTGCTCAGGGCGCCTGCCCGGCTTCTACTTCATCCACACCGGCCGTCAGCCCGACCCGACCAACTGCGTGTACGACGCCCTGCTGTTTGTGCACCACACGGCGCCGGATTGGAGCTACAGCGGGTGGGACGTGGTCGCGCTGGCGGTCTCGCCGCTGAGGGCGGCCTGGGGGCGGATTTACGGCTGCATGCCGCAGCTGCTGAGGTGGGCGTTGGCGGGTTGCGTGTGCGCGCGCGTCGCTGTTGGTTGGCACCTGCGTGACTGGTACTGCGTGGTTTTGTGGCCGAGAATGGGTGTGTGCGCATGCGTGTGTGCTTGTGTGCATATGCTTGTGTGCTTGTGTGCGTGTGCATTCCTTGTGTTGTGTGTGTGCATGTGTGTGCGTGTGCATGTTTTTGTTTCTTAGGTATGCGACATAAATGGACATGGCCCGCCATGCTGATCAAGATTAAACCCATTCGCCTGCCACTCACCACCCAAGCAAACGCCGTCCTCGCGCCTCCCCTTGCCCCCTCGCCCTGCAGGCAGCAGCCGCACGCCAGCCAACAGGTGCAGCTGCTCGAGCAGCTGCCTCCAGCACCGTCGACCTTGCACGCCGCGCCATACGCACGCCAGCTGCTGCAGCAGCAGCAGCAACAGCAGCAGCAGCAGCAGCAGCAGCAGCAGCAGCAGCAGCAGCAGCAGCAGCAGCAGCAGCGGCCACCGTACGCCGCAAGCTGGGGTGCCAGGTCTCGGCCCTGGGGCCCCTGGAGGGCTCATGCACCCCAGCAGCCGGGGCTGCCCTACAGCCGGCGTGCGGGCGCCGCGGCAGGCGCCGGCGGCGGCCAGGGCGGGCCCCACCAACGGCAGCTTGAGGAGGCCGCGGTGCTGTCGCAGCGGCGGCAGCCGCAATTGCAGCAGATGCTGCGGTATCTGTTCAACCCCAGTTCGAGGAACGGGGCAGGCGACAGCAACAGCGGTGGCGGCAGTGGCGGCGGTGGCGAGGGATCCTGGGGTGGCGGCGCCAGCGGCAAGCCCGGGCCCTTGTGGGGTTGCAACGGCAGCGGCGGCGGGGGAGGAGGCCGCGGCGCCGGCGGCGCCGGCGTGGGCGCGGGGGGCGGCCTCAACGGGGGTTACGTGCAGCTGCCCAGCAGTGCGACCGGCCCCAACCGCAGCACGCGTGGGGTAGGGGCGCCCACAGACTCGCACGTTGTCTGAAATGCCGATGCGCAATCCCGTGGTCGCACGCGCACCCAGATTACGCCGTGTACATTGGCGACGCTGTGCCTGTGCAACTTTCGTGCCGTGCGGCATCCGTCCGGCGCCGTCGCCAACTTTCTGCCGCACGCGCGCCTTGTACCAAGTCATTTGCCACGCTCCCCTGCTCCATTGACAATACCCCTACCTCAGCGCCACCAGCAGCAGCGACCCACAGACCTTACTAATCTAGTAGCTTCCCTGCAGGGCGCCACAGCCGTGAGGTTTTGCTGCTCGCCAGTCCGTCTTTCCGCGGCAGACCCTTAAATACGGCCCATTTTTAGAAGCCGCGGCCTTAATGCTTGCAGCCTCAGGCGGCGCGCCCCCCCCCCTCCCACTTTTGCCGCTGTCAAACGCTGCGTGAGGCAGCGGTGGCGGCCGCGTTCGCGTCCCTTGCCCCTGCTTGTGTTCGCGCCTCATCCCTTGAACTTCGAATTTGAAATTTTCCAACCGATGCAGCCCCACCCCCTCGACAAACGCCTGGGAGCGGGCCCCCGGCTCACACACCCACTGTAATAGGTTGCCCCCTGCCACCCCTGTGCGTCCGACTTGGCGGCGCAGCGCGGGTACCAACTCAAACAAGGCAAGCTGCAAGTAAGCTGCGAGTACGAAGGCTTTGGGGCCAAGAAAGCCGACGCGTCGCCAGTCTTCGCCTCTGCAGCCTGCGCCCGCAGGACACCACCAACGCTGGGGGCCGAACCGCTGCAGTTACAAACCGCTGTCACTCGGCCTCGCTCTGCCAGTCAGACTGAGACGCCTCTGCCTCTGTGCCGAGATCGGTCTCCGACCCTTCCGTCC